AAAAAGCAATCAGCAGTGACAGAAGGGGGAGGCAGGGTTTTACTAACTTCTCCTGGCTTCAAACTGTTCTGCTGATGAAAGGGTCCGGTCCTTGGTTCCTCCCATCGCCAGATCTAATGGTTGTGTTGGCAAAGCCATGCTCAAGGCTGCAGGCTTTCTGCAAGATAACTGCTAAGCACAGTAAGTTTTCTCTGCCCCATTTTATTCTCCTTAACTTTTTAAGAATAATATGCTTTCTGGACAAAGGTTCTTGTTCATGAGCCAAAAGAATACAATTCTATATAAAGTTTAAATGTGTGTGGTTTCTTGAGAAGAAAAATGAGTCCTCTTTTGAGGACTCATTTATGAATTAAGAGTAAATAGTGTCTGCGATAAGTAAATCTTAAGGATGAGGTTATAATATCTAATCTCCAGGTTGTTTGAATCCCATGAAAATGTCAACAATTGTTTTCCTTTTATGGTGATCAAAGAAAAGTGCTTTGGTGTGCTATACTTATAAGAAATATTAATCATGCTCTGTTCATTATGGTTGCTCTTTTCTGGTGAGACAAAGCACATTCTCACCTGGCTGGGAGTTGTGAGCCCTGGGACATGGAAGCTAACAGCAGAATGCAGTCCGTCCTCCTATCCGGAGAACTGTCTATCATTAATGGAGAGATTTCCAACCTCGTGATGAGGTAATCTAGTCCCGCTCCGTACAACCCCCAGCCCTGTCACCTGGTCCTTGGTCCCTGGAGGCATCCACCCTCAGTGACCCTGCCACCCAAGCCTGCATGATGTGTAACCTGTAATCATGCCCAGGTGCCCACTTTCTCATGCCTGTCATTTCTGCTTTCCCATGCCATCTCTGTCCCTCTACCCAGTAGAAGCAGTGGCTAATGGTGGGCCACAGAGCTATTTCTCTGGCTGAACTGCTGCTCTCCCATCCTGCCAGCATGACTGGAATAAACAATCCCACATGATTCAAGCCTGTCTCTGCATCATGGGCTCAAGCAGTGACAAGCAGCCCGGACCCACTTGCTATTTGGTTACAAGTTCACATAAACAGAAGCCCACACAATGCGACCTCTGTGCCTCGCTGATTTCACTGAATACGTTTCCAGGGAGCACTGTGCTTTGTAAGTCTCTTGCTCGGTTTCTCTTTGGGTGAGTTGGTGTCTACACCCTGAGCATCTCTGTGGGGTGAAGGGTCTTTATGGGGACCATCCCCTTCAGCAGGCATTTGTTTGCCACTGCCCCTCCTCCACCTGTTTCTGCCCCAGGAGAACTGATGGAAATCTCTCACTTGCTGCCCCCTCCTTCCTGCCCTCTGCCCTTGGCTTTCATGTCGTTGATCCAGGAGGGAGACGTTATGGAGGTGTGGTTGCTCAGTCCCGTGTGGCAGGAGGACTGTCAGGACTTGGAAGAAGGCAATCACAGAAACACACACCTGTGCCCTGTTGTTTGTTAGTGTCCAGCCCCCCTGCCTTCAACAAGGGACACTGAGGGCACCTCTACTTCCTGCTGCTTTGCCACCCGCCAAGTTCCCCATTTCCTATCTCCCTAGATCTCCATTCCAGACTGTGAGTTCCTGACCCCTGCTTCCTGTGTAGAGGCTGCTGAGCCTCTGATTGTTGGCTTCAGGGAGCCCCGCCCGCAGCATCTGGAGCCAGGTGTGACCTAAGGAGCCACTCTATATTGGGGCCTTGGAGCATGATGCTGCTGCCTGGCCGGACATGGGAAGCCAGCGTTGAAAATGGGGGCATAGAGCAGGGACTTTGGGGGGATGCCGAGCTCAGTGTTGGCCCTAAAGTAAGATGCCAACAACCTGACAGCGATGGACTAGTCACTGAAGGCCACACAAAGAGCAGAAGAGGGCTGGGTTGGCTGGCAGTCTATTTGAATCTGTTCTAAGATGACTGGGCAGAAAACTGGACTTCCCAGATGCTAGTCCTCTGTTTTTCTGGGCTCAAAGGTTCTAGAGATGGATCACTCCCCTTCCTCTTTGGGTGCCCCCAACTGCAGGAGAAGAGGAGGGCCTGGGTCCTGACCTTGTTCCCATTCTCATGGCTCTCACCACCTTTCTCTGTGCAGTGTAACCCTCTCCAGCCCCTGCCAAGATCTGAGTTGCCTGGGCCCCTCAAGTTCAAGGTGGGCCCCACCTGCATGTGTCCTGCACAGTGAAGGGCTACAAACCAAGCACCAGTGCAGTGGGCTGCACTTCTCCCCAAGTCCTTTTTCTTGCTCTCCTCCATTACCAGAGGCCATAACTGATGCCTGGTCCTCCTGCTTTTCTCTGAGTTGATACCGTGCCCTTGTCTGCTACTGTGCTGTCACTGAGGCTGGGCCTAGGAGGATGGGCAGGTTGGCCGGGCCATTCAGGCTCCCCACTTCACTGGGCGGCCACTGGGTTCCCATTTCCACAGCATCTGGCACCAGCTGCCTAGTTTGCCTCCCTCTGCCCTGTGGCTTCCTGGGACATCCCCACCAGTCTTTCCCCCAGACACACGTAGGGGTCATGTTGAATGTTCCACACTTGCCTGCAGTTCACATTCTATTGGGATTTGAAGAGTTGATATTTGATGACACCGTCTCTTTTTAACCTTGAATGACATTTTATTTTGTGTGAGTTTCCTTGTAAGGAAACAGGTGGTTGTCACAGACTCTTGATTAGGAATGTAAGGAGCTGGCTGTGAATGGAGTCTTTATCATCACGGCTTTGCATTAGTTACACTGAGAGTAACAGATGAGTTTCTGCTTCTTTCTCTCCTGATTTGTGTTTAATACATTTATCTTGCATGCAGACACCTTGGGAATCTTCATCTTAAAACATTTTCAAGTGAGGCTTTTGGCTTTTCTGAGAAGAAATTGTATTATCTGCCAATGATAGTCATGTGGTTCCTCCCAAGACCCTGAAACCTCTTGTTTGTGTTTCAGGCAGATCTGCTGGAGCTGATCCAGTACTGTTTTTGTCCCAGGTATGGCCTAGATTGTTATCACACTGCGTGATGCGGGTGGGTGTGGGGGAAGTCTGTGTCCAGCATCAGGCTGGGAAATTGGGGCTTGTAGCTTCTCACTGATTCCTCTGTGACTTGCTTTCTTGCCATCTGGCCTGGGAACCAGCCCCAGACCCACATCCACTGTTGAGGTGGGTAAAGGTCAAGGCTCTGACCAGACCACTGGCAGGGAGGGAGGAAGCCCGCCCCTTATCACCCAAGGTCTCATCTCCGGGCCTGAATGACTTCTGTGTCTGTGATCCCAGCCCGTTCCCTCCTGGGTGCTCACTCCCCCCACCATGGAGCCCCTGGCCATGTTGGATCCTGGTTTTTTTTCCTGTGGAGATTCCCAGTGTCCCCTGAGGATTCAGATTCTGGGTGCCCCCGAACACAACAGTATCTCAGCAAGGGTGACAGGGACTCTGGTCCCAGGAGGGAATGATGGGTTTCTAGGGATGCGAGCTCACCTAAGTGCTGGAACGCATCTCTCGGTGGTCTCCTCGCTGGGCTCACAGGGGAGAGAGGACCTGGAGTGGTTCAGGAGTGTGGGATCCCCTCTTCCTTCTCCTCTCAGAGCATTGTATGGCTTTTCCCATGCTTGGTGGAGAATGGTTCTCAGAATGTCAAAGGGAGGAAAAGCCTGTGCCTGGCGGGTGGCCGGCCTCGTCTTGAGGTTGGACTTGAGGGACAGAGCTCCTCCATGCAGACAGCAGGGAGGGTGAGAGGAGAGGTTCCCAGCGCTGTGCGGGTGCAGGGAGTGTGCAGGACGTGAGGAGAGTGAGGAGAACTAGCAGTAAATCGGCACCTCTCACACCCTTTGCCCTGCATTTTGACAAAGCTTGATCATGCAATGGAGAGATGAGGACAGCTGAGCAGAGGCCTGCATGTCTTGGGGCAGCCGTAACAAATGCCACAGACCCGGGCCTTTAAAGAAAACCTTATTCTGTCCCAGTGTTGGAGGCTGGAAGTCTACCATCAAGGTTCCAGCAGGTCCCACTTCCTCCAAAGGCCCCAGGGCAGCTGCCTCCTCCATCTCATGGGGCTGCTGGCAATATCTGTCTGCAGGTCCAGTGAGTATGTCCTTTGTGGGGGGCACTGTGAGCCTCAAAAGAAGGAGGGGGCAGGGGAGACTGGGCCTGCTGCTCTCCTTCACCCGCCTCTTGGCTCAGGAGCCAGCCCCCACCCCATCTGTGCCCCTGCTCTGTTTTGCTGCAGAGCATCTGTCTTATTTATTATTTATTTAGTTCCTCAACCGAGGATAGGCTTATCGATTTTAGGGGGAGGAAGGGAGAGAGATGTGTGGGGAACATTGATCGGTGGGCTCTTGTACGCATCCCGATGTATGAATGAATTCTCAACCTAGGTATGTGGCCTCACTGAGAATTGAACCTGAGACCCTTTAGTGTACAGGATGATGCAAAGCATCTCATTTCTTTCTTTTTCACATGCACTGTCATCTTACTACTGAAATGTCTCCAGTACCAATATTCTTATTGTTTTTATTTTTTGTGAGTCCTCACCCAAGAATATTTTTCCATTGGTTTTTTGAGAGAGTAGGAGAGGCAGATACAGAAACAAACATTGATGTGACCCATTGATTGTTTGCCTTTTGCAAGCACCTGCAATCAAGGTAGGTGCCCTTGACCAGAATCACATGTGGGACCCTTCAGTCCACAGGCTGATGTTCTATCCACTGAGCCCAACCAGCTAAGGCTTCAGCACCAATACTCAGTATCTTCTCAGAGAGGACCCCTCATATTTGTTATCTGATAACTGGTCTGCTGGTCACCGCTGGTCCCACTGCAGGGATAAGCCCCTCCTCCCATGTCCCACCCCTAAGAGGGTGGCTTCCCCTTGGGCCAGTCTGGGCAGGAGCATAAAGGGGCTCCAAGGAGTCCAGCAGCAGAAGGCAGAGAGGCCTGGCATGGTGAGGACCCTGCTCAAAGCCCCATCCTCTCCATTCCCAGGTCCCTGCCACAGATCTCCTCACTGGCTCTCCCCTTCCCCTCCTCTCTCCCCCTTCAGATGATGTGGCTGCTGCTCCTGACTCTCCCCTGTCTGGGGAGCTCCGTACCTTTGACCTCAGGTGGGTGCTGACCCCAGGCCTGGCTTGTCTCTGAACCCCTGACTATGACCTCTCAGAGGCCGCCCCTGGTATGGGGTGGAGATCCCCCTGAGGGTGGTTGTGGGAGGGACTGAGGATGGGGCCATGCTGAGTGCCAGGCAGCGATGCCTGGGTTCCTGATGTCTCCTCCTCTGCTTTCCCAGATCCCGGCCCAGGGACTGAGCTGGTAGGCATCATGGGGGGACACGATGCTTCAAAGGGGGTGTGGCCGTGGAATGTGGGCCTGTGGTTCTGGAATGAAACTGAATTGGATTGGGATCTCATTTGTGGGGGCTCCCTAATCGACCCCCAGTGGGTGCTGACTGCTGCCCACTGCATTCCAGAGTAAGTCTCTCTTCTGCCAGCACCCAACATGGGGGTGGGGGACATGGGAGGCATGTGATGTGTGCTGTGGGCAGATCCTGGGTTCACTTGGTACAGACCCCTCACAAGGATTCAGCTTCCTGGAGCTCCCCTTGCCCACCACAGAGGGGAGGTCTCTGGGTTCTGAGGGGCTGGCCCACTTCCTGCCACAGCCTCTCAGAAGCCTTTGGCCTCTGTCCCCAGGACAAACCCCAAACCTCAGCACTTTATGGTTGAACTAGGAGCAGTGAGACCCTCATGGCGTGACATTGTGCTGGTGGCTAGCATCATCCTCCACCCGGAGCACAGGGATGAAAACGGAATACCTCAGGCAGACGTGGCGCTTCTCAAACTGGTGGCCTCCGTGCGACCATCTAACCTCATCAAGTGGATCAGCCTTCCGCCAGCCTACTCCGCATTCCCCCCAGGCACCCGGTGCTGGGTGACTGGCTGGGGCAGGATTGGTCCTGAAGGTAAGAACCAGAATGAGTGGGAGGAGGAGACTGATGGTGATGCCTTGGGGTGGGTGGGAGAAGGGCAGGCTTTACAGAGGAGGCTGCAGCTGGGGTCCCTCTGGGATCTCTCTTGAGTGTAGGAGGCACACAGCCTGAGAGGACTGTGTTCCGGAGCAGAGACCAAAGTAGCAAGAGGGAGGCATGGACATGGGCATTTTTTTATTTTTAATTTTTTTAGTATCATACAAGGATATTTTTCCATTGATTTTTAGAGAGAGTAGAAGGGAGGGGGAGAGAGAAACATTGATGTGAGAGACATATCTATTAGTTGCCTTTCTGTCCGGAGCTGGGGATTGAACCTGCATTACAGGTCCTTGGCCTTGACCAAGAATCAGACCTGGGTCCCTTGGGCCAGTGCTCTAACCAAGGCATTTGTCTTCCTCACTCTGCACCAGGCCTGTGTGCTCCCTTCCGGGGGTGCCGTTCTCCCTGAGTCTCCCTAGTGAGAAGGAGAGGAGGAGGGATTACTCCAGTGATCTGTTCCAGGATTCACTGTTAAATGGACAAAGTCAAATCTGATAAGAGGTCCGATTGTTCTGCATTTCTCTGGGGAAAGTATTTGCTCTGATTTTTCCCAATAAAAATTATTTGTAGATAAAAAATATATTTCTGTTTCTTTTTGGATCTTGTTGCCCCCAGTATCAGCCTAGAGATTATCAGCCCACTGGCCGAGAATGAACCCGGAGAGCTGGGGTCTTGGGTGACTCCCTGGGTCCCTCTGGGAGTGGTGAGTCTTAGCGTGAGGTTCTAGAACCCTGGGCCTGTGACTGGACGCCCCCTCAGGACAGCAGGCTCACTGGGCTTCTTCTCACAGAGCCGCTGCCAGAGCCCTACAATCTGCAGGAAGTTCTGGTCCCCATTGTGGCGGATGAGACCTGTAGACAGCAATACCTCAGTATAGGCTTCGTTGTCAAGGATGATATGCTATGTGTGGGGAGCCCAGGCCAGGGCGCCTGTAAGGTAAGACCCCCAGACTGTGGCCTCAGTCCACTGCTCCTGCCTGCAGGGACCCTGAGTATTGACTGCCGGTCTTTTCTTCCCACAGGGTGACTCTGGGGGTCCCTTGGTCTGTAAATGGAACCACATCTGGGTCCAGGTAGGGGTGGTGAGTTGGGGGGAAGGGTGTGGTCTTCCCAACTTTCCTGCAGTCTTTGCCCGAGTGACATCCTACTTGCCTTGGATCCGCCATCATATTCACTCCTCTCCTTGAGCCGGGGTCCGGCAAGAATGCTACCCATGTGAGATGAAGACAGGCTCTATGGTGTCTGAGAACCTCACTGCTCCTTCCCAATGCCAGGTCTTCACTGCACCTAGCACCCTCCTCCACTATCAGCCCCTCTTAGATCCTCCAGCCTCTGCCACCTCCATCAGTCTGTCTCCCCCTGACAGGCAAAAGAGAGAGGAGGGCTGTGGTCTAAGGTTAGGTGGGGCACTGCAGGCCTCCTGCCTCTCCTACCCTCTGTAGCTCATTAAACTGCATTAAAACTGCTCTGGACTGAGTGTACTTACATGTGGGCAGGGCCAGGGTGTCATGGGTGGGCCGTCCTGGTGGGGAACCAGGCTCTGGAAGGTGGACCATGTGGGGATGGGCAGGTATGGCTGCAGTGTGGAAGAGGGACACAAGGGTGGGCTCTCTTGACTGAGGAGGAGGAGGATTGTCCTATCTGGGGCTGGAGACCACAGCCCGCAGGGTTGCTCCCAGAGTGGCCCACACTTTCCCTTTTTCTCCTTCCATCCTGGTCAGTGTGGAATGGATGCTTTGAAGGACTTGGACTTGGCAGCATACAAACAGGAAGCATAGTTTTCCATGGTCACCACTGCTCTGGTTGATCCGGTCGCTGCCAAATCCTCATTTTCCAATTTGATCAACTCCTTGGACCTAATGAAGTCCAGTCCCATTTATATGCAGAACCTCAGTCTCCCATTCTGAGCTTTTACTGAGCAGGAGAACCTGCAGGGGCCTGGAACAAGCCTTGTTTTCCCTCTTCCTGCCCCTGTCCTCAGCCTCCCTTGGCATCCTGATCCTGGTTGGATGGAGGCTTCAAGAGAAGAGGATGGAGAGGGGGACCCCATCCTCCCAGAGGCTGCTCTCCCAGCGCTGGCGCCCCTGCTGGAGAAGCACCACAGTGCACCATCCTCTCAGGCTCCTCAAAGCCCATCCTTCCTCCCAGAGGGTGGGAGGGGCTCCCAGTGGACAGAGGAGCTTCTGTCTCAGATGGAGGAGTGAGAAGGGGCTGTGCAACCCGTCCTACCATAGGCAGCGGCGTGCAGTTCCTTATGAGTTAGGATTTGGGGGGCACGGCTGGTGCTGGATGGGGTGGGTGCCTGCACCTGCAGGTTGGGGCCAGGACCCAGAAGAACCTGGGGAGCCTGAGGAGGCCTGTATGATGGGTTGAGGGGGCTCCATATCCCGCAGCCACAGGCTGGTCCCAAGCCTGATTCTAAAATATGGTGGAGCCTTCGATCCCTGCCCAGTGCCCAGGACCCGCCCCCAGAAGCCAGGGTGGACAAGCCCTGCTCTATTCCTGTGACCCGGTTCTTTGGGGATGGCTGCCCTCCAGTTAGGGAGAGTGGGAGCTCCGGGGCAGACGGAGCAGGAGCTGTGTGCCCCATGTAACTGAAACTGAAGTCTGGGTTTCCTGGGTGCCAGGAGCTCTCCAGGAACTCCTTTTTTTTTCTGGGAAAATGAGGTCCAGGACATTGCTGGAAGGCACCACCTTGTAGATGGCCCCCTTGGGGATCTACTCCACCCAGGGAGCGAGGAGGGGCTGACCCAGCTCAGCTTGGCGCTGTGCCCTGGCCCTCGGGTTCCAGCACACGTTCTGTCTAAGTGACTGCCCTTCCATGGGCCTGTGGATGGGCGGCTGCCAAACTGTCCACAGGCATCCAGTTCCCTTCTACCCGCCAGGAGGGGTGTGGGCTGCCTGCAGTGCCATTGGGCCCTGGAGGATGTGACTCTGTAGGGCTTCCCCTATTGGTGCGGGTGTAGTCAGACCTCAGTGTTTCCAGGGTTAAGAATGAGGGTGAGTAACTAGAGGCCAGTGCTCCTAGGAGGGAGAAGATCTGGGACTTGGTGTGGAGGGAAGGATAGAGTGAGACACACCTGGGCCTGGGGCCCTGTCTGCAGGAATGTCCACTGCGTGGCCACACTGGGCTCTCTCTCTGGAGGATGGGCACTAGACAATCTCCCCCTCCCCCCACTTGCCTGGAATCAGCACCTGAGCAACTGGCTCCCTGGGCTGAGCAGTAAAGCAAGGTGGGCGGCGCCAGATGCCTGGGCTGTAGATGGACAGGAGGTGTGTTGCCTGTGGTCTCTGAAATCTGTTCTAACTGAGCCCTGGGCCTGCAGGGATGGGGGACACTCAGCCAACAGGGCTGTGTCCCCCAAAATAGACCCTATAGACCAGGTCAGTGCCCACGGAACCCTTGGGAGGGCATTGGCCTCTTCCCCTTGTCTGAGGTGACAGGAGACACCCACAGGCTTGGAATGGAGATGCCAAGCAGGGCCACGCCCTTCACAGTGGAGGTCACACCTCAGTCACTGCCAAGCTTGCCCACTTGTGGTGTCTTGGAGTGGCAGTGAAAGCCCAGGACATTTGTGTGTCCGTGTGTGTGTGTGTGTGTGTGTGTGTGTGTGTGTGTGTGTGTGTGTATATGAGCGCTTAAACTCAGAAATTCATTCTCTACTGGCTGGAATCCAGAAACCCTCAGCCAAGTTTTTCTGGGGTCACACCTCCCCCAGGATCCTGCCTCCTTCGCTTCTATTGGTGCTGGGACCCTTGTCTTGCTGAGGAACCACTGGACCCCCTACTCCCCGTCTTACCACTCCCTGTGTCTCTCCTCATCCTCCCTTCTTCCTTCAAGGACAGCCATCACTGGTTTAGGGCCTCCACTCCTCCACCCTGACCTCATGTGACCCAGTTCCCTCAGCATCTGTTTCTCAGTGAGGTCAGGTGTGAGGGACCGCACTGGTCCACACTGACCTACCTCATTGGTGAGGTTCCAGTCCACCAGGCTGTGTGCTTCTGAGGGGCAGCCCCCTGAGGAGGTCAAGGGCTGGCACAGAAAAGCTTTAGGACTCAGCACCCAGGGGCACCTCATCCAACCACAGGCCTTGAGGGCTCTGCACCTCTCAGGGTAAGAAGCAGTGAGCTCCAAACCTCCCAGTGCCCTCCAGCACGGGACGCCGGCCACACAGAGGCTGTGGCTCTGAGCGCTCCCAGTGCTGACAGGGCGCCGCTGCAGGTCCAGGCTGCACTGGCGTCACAGGAGCAGAAGACACGATGGTGATAAAAGCAGCTGGCTCTGAGGAATGTTCCTGAGATGGAGGTGCAGCTGGTGTCTGGGGAAATGGAGAGCCTGTGTCTGGGGACAGAGAGCCAGCCGTGCCGCCATCTTGGTGGGGACAATGATACTAACCACCAGGCAGAGGCAGGGCTGCTGTGTCACAATGGGGAGCAGGGACGGGGAGGGCCGTGGGTGTCTCTTGTGCCCCTCCTCCATGTGGTGGCAGGTGGACATGTGCAAACCCGCAGCCTGACAAGTCCCTGTGCCCAGAGCTCCGCCCCTCAGTGATGGGGGTCCAGTTCCCACTTGTAGGTGAACCCCAGAGTCCCAGTTGGGAGCAAAGGTTGGGGGTCTCAGTGTACTGCTGGGGCCTGGTGGCCTCAGTTGTACCCTGAGCCTCTCCTTTCCAGGTTCCTAGGCAGGGACTTCTGGGTGGTTCTGTGGCCGCCTCCTCAGCACACAAGGCAGAAGGCGGTGGGTGCTGCTGGTCACAGAGTCCAGCGGGCCAGGTCCCCTTAGGTCGGGACTTGATGGCAGCTGCTGGGAGATCTGGCACCTCCTCTGGCTGCCTCACTTCGTCAGGTCCTGCTTGGCTGTGCAGGAAGAGGCAGGAGCTGGCCTTGTGTCCTGTGGGGGCCTCGGACTTGGTCTCTCATGAGCTGGTCAAGGGGGCATCACCCAGCGTTGTGCTCCAGCCTCGCCTTCTGCCCAGCTCTGCTCTGTCCTCCTGCCTCCCAGGTGCCTCTCTCGGATGTTTCCCCATGAAAGCCTGTCTCAGTGCAGCTCCTGAGAGCCCCCAGCAGAGAGCAGTGTGTGACCTCTGCTGGGGGCAGTGAGGGTGGCCACAGGCCATGTGCCAGGCAGAGGGCATGCTCTAGTCAGATGGCATGCTCCAGGCTGCTTCACAGGGCTCAGCGGATTGAGGGGCTGCCCCGTGGCTCGAGGGGCCCAGCAGCAGCTCTGGGGCTCTGCCCGCCTGGGCCGCCTGCCTGGGCCAGTGCACTGGGGCTTCAGACAGCAATCCTGCTCCTCTGGTATGCTCTCCTTACTCATGCCGTGGCCTGGCTGCATTTGTGGATGAGATCCCTGCAGCCAGAGGGGGCTGCTACCCAGTGACATCCAGGGGGCAGGTCTGGGGAAGCAGCGCCAGGGCCCAGCAGCAGCTCCTTGATGCCTGCTGACAGACCCCCCGACCTGGGGTGGGCCTAAGAGAGGAGAAGCTCTCTCTGCCATGGCCCAGCCAGGGAGCCCCCACTTACCCCTTCCTGTGCAGGGGATAAAGGGGTACAAAAAGGGTCCCAAGAATGGTCTCTCAAGGTGAGGATGATCCTGCCTTCAGCCCTGCTTCTCCATCCATACACGGGACCCCTACCCTTGATGGCCTCAGCCAGGCCCCTGCCATCCCCGCAGATGCTGTGGCTGCTGTTCCTGAGCCTCCCCGGCTGGGGGGACTCTGTGGCCTTGTTGCCAGGTGAGTCCTCACTCCCTGTTCCCATCTTCTGCTCAGGCTGCCCCGGTCCCTCAGCCAAAACTCAAGGGGGACTTCTTGGTTCCTCCTAGGGGAATCTGAATGTGAAGAGCCCTGCTCGGGTCTTAGATGGTGTGCCCTGTCCCCTTTGTTCCCAGGTCCCGGCTCAGGGAGGCAGCGGGGTGGCACCATGGGTGCACACAATGCCCCCGCTGGCAGATGGCCTTGGCAGGTCAGCATGCCACAGTACAATGAGGAGCTGGAGCTGTGGCAACACCTGTGTGGGCTCCCTCATCCACAACCAGTGGGTGCTGACCGCAGCACACTGCACCCAGCGGTAAGCCATGCAGCCCGAGGTCCCCTGGCAGGGGTGGGGTGGGAAACACACGGAGGGGTGATGGATGGTGAGCTGTGGGCAGGGCTCTGGGTCAGGGGAAAGCCACTGTCAGGGAGCC